ACTAAAGTTCCAGAACATTGATCAGGAGGCTAGATTTCTCGGACAAACAAGTCCCCTGCACTAACAAGGGGCCCAGCAGCGCTCTCCAGACCGACTTCTGTCATGAGGTCCTTCCATGAGACTGGAGAAAGACTCCAGTGCAGGATCCCTGACATCAAGCCAGGGACAACCAGGGCTTCAGTGCCCAATTGGTCTGTCCAAAGATTGGACCACCTGTTCTCACATTTACACAATGTTGTGCTGTGGAGTGAAACTGGGCAAATTGGGATTGCCTCGAAGGAGGCTTCCATTGGCGCCAGGACCTTCATACAAATGAGAAGTGTCGGGCAATACAGAATTTCCGAGCTTGAAGACATTTAGGGGTCACGAGATCCTAAATGAGGTGAATGCTGCCTTTTGGTTTGGCAACTGTACAGGTTGGAGTAGAACCATGAGACCTGTTTTGCCACAGGGACTAATTGTGTGTTGACACGGGCAGGTTGGAAGTAATGAACTGGGGAGGGGGCTCCTCCCCCCAAGCATCCGATATGCAGGTTGTTTAAGTAGCCGAAAAGGCTGCCAGTGTCCAATCCTCCAATAGGAGGCGGTATAACTAGACAGTTTGTGTCCCTTAAAATGAACAAAAAAGAAAAGCTTGTATCCAAATGTTAGTGTTGTGGTGGTGTTTCTATTACAAATAACAAAATAGAAAAAATAGTCGTTATACTATTTTATGAAAGGAGACTTTAAAGATGACCAACCTCCACCCTGTCTGGAGTCTCCTGGCCTGGCGGTACTGCACTGGTTACAGGAATCTCTTCTGGCAAAGTTAACATTACCGCATGTACTGGTGGGGGGAAAAAAAAACACTTTTTACTTAGAAGGAATTTTATAATTTGTTTTTCCGTTTTTAAATATAAAATAAAAAGAGACTTACGGATTTGGACAAACCCAGTCACCACCTTGAGGTCCACCACTGCTACCTCTGAAAGAGCCACGACCACCAAAGCCACCGCCTCTATGACCTAGAAAAACAATTTTACAGCATTTCACTGCCATGGAAACCATGTATAAAAGCACAAATTTTAAATCAAAAGTAACCAGTTGAAGACCTTGGCCTTGAAGGTAGAGAAAAACGTCCCCAAAACCAACAGACATAGGGAGGAAACCGCCAACCTTCTAATGGAGGGGCTAGGGTGCTCTATCCTCCAGGGATATCCTTGATGTCAAGGGCTACTCCATAGAGATGTCAGATCTCGAAGACCTAGCAGGTCAAGGTACTCCGTGGATGCAGTAGCCACATCCAAGCACCTAAACCAGAGTGCACATTTGCATAGACAACAGATGCATTCTAGAGACAATCCTACATGCTTCCAGCATGCAAGGATACCCCTTCTACTGGTGTAGAGGTTTTCCTGTTAAAGTGGGTTACTGGCACTAAGAAAAAAAACTGAGGGGTGCCTGAATAAGTCATAGATGGTCATTGCAACCAATGGCCAAGGCGCCTCGAAGACTGCAGGCAGATCAGAAATCAACTTTGTTTAGGGAAGGTGCGGGAGAATGCTTAGATGTCTCTGCAGTCAGCACCAGCAAGGAAAAGGGTGAATTTGGGTGCCCGAAGGCCGTACTGACCAAGGCTGGCATTCTCAGAGGCCTGAACACCCCATACGGGGAATCTCAGGAATAAATACAGGGTGATCTAATGGCCCATAAGCTGAGTAAAGGATAATAAATTAAGCACAGACAAGGCAACTGTTAACTGAAGATGGGCATACCTGTGGCATTGATCATGTGGACAGAATTGTCTATGAACTCACAGGTCAACACTTACCAGAGCCACGTCTACCTCCTCCTCCACCACCACCACCACCGCCGCTGCCGCTGCTGCTGCTACTAGCTCCTCCTTTCATGAATTCAGGTCTTCGAGTAGCAAAGGAGACTTTAATGATACTGCCCATAAAATCTTTCCCTGCATAATAAAAACAGAAATGCATTAAATTATGTCAACATTAGCATTACAATATGACACTGCACAAACTAATCTAGCTGCTTTGCTACACCACAATTTGCAGAATGCAAATAAAAATTAAAAAGCAATAATCTTACCATTAAACCATTCAATAGCTGCTTTGGCAGAGGGAGGATCATCAAAAGACACAGTAGCTTCACCTTTAGATTTGCCAGTTTCCTTGTCCGTGTAAAGATTTATCATTGGCTTTGCTGTCTTCTTATTAATCTGCAAATAGATTTTTAATATGTGAAAGCAACACTTTAATATTGTGGTGCTTTCCAGACCACGGAAAAAAAAATGCAGCATTTTTTCTCCTGCACTGGAAAAGAGTTCACTGGTGTGAACATTGCCTAGAAATACCATAGGAATACATTGAGATGAATTTCAGGTGGAGACAAAAACGTTCTGGTCCAGACAAGCCCTAATAGTGAGGTAAACACTGCATGACTGATACAAAAGTGTAAATGTAAGCTTAGTAGGTGCAAATAGATTGCTTGAATAGCTCTCAAGACCCTCTAAGTACAATTTCCAATATAAACCTACTCCCTGTGGCCATGAAAACGTACTACAGGTTCTACATTTTCCTGTCTATATACAAAAAAAACTCAAGGGAAAAAAAAAGTAAGTAAAAAAAACTCAATAGGGCCATCCAGCAACCATTTCCAACTGTACTGAAGTTCGAAAATACACTCCTACATTTAATCGGAGTTTGTGAAATCAGGTTGTAGTGGATTTAAAGCACATCTGGTTTTTGAAGCCTGTGTTGGGCTGTAAAACTAGCTGTAAGCTGTAAAACTAGCTTCTAACGTTTAAAAAAAAAAAATTGGAGTTACGTACCTGGTAACTCTGTTTCTAGGAACCTTCCAGGACAGCATTAGAGAGATAGGCTCCTCCCACCGGAAACAGGAAACACATCATAGTTGGTCTTCTGTGAAAAGTGGCCAATAGACAGGTGAACTAAAAATGGAAGCTATTCAGGGAGGTTGCTCTACTCGAGTGCATTTTAGGTCTTAAAAAGGAGAACTATGGGGTTAAGGCTTTTCCCCATAGTCCTCCTTAGGGTAACGAGAGGACACAAACTAGCGTCCTCCCGTCACCCTAGGCTCAGTATACCGCAAGCTGCGACCGCGAGGATATCTTAGGAGTCACTGGCCAGGAGCAAGTATTCAGCAAGTGAAGTCTAAAATTCCCTCCCTGCACCTTTAACCACCTCCCTGCCCACGCCTGATAGCGCGCGCACACAAGTGGGAAACTGCCAGGGTTTAAACGGCCAGCGATGCCCGTTTACATACGAGCAGTCCGGCGTCTGTAAAGACGCCCAATCGCTGGTATAATGCAAGTCAGGGTACCCCCCCCCCC